TTGAGAGCTTCTCACGCATACTGGCACGCGTGTAAACCGCATTTCGTGGATATTGCGAGATTCGTTCGTGGACGGAAACTATGTAACACAAAATGGCCGATAATGATTACGAAAGAATTTTATGTGTTAAAAATGAAGTTTTTGTCTTTCGAATTCCACCCAGAACTACGAATAGAGGCTATAGGTATGTTATATTGTATCGCATTTATCTTACAATGTTATTTTATGGCGAAATCGTAGTGTTTGCGCGTTCTTATTCTACATAATTTTTTGTTGTTTGTTTAAAATGTTTCCATATTTAATTATTTGTAACACATTAACTGTATCCAGGCGGAACGTTTAAACACTTTTTTTCACAGATTGAATTATTTGAATTGTCAGGGTTTTGTTGGTTTCATAATTTGCGACAGAACTAATAATATTGATATGGTGTGACATCATTTTACAAATATCAAACACGATTGATTGATTACATATCTATTTTTTATTGATTGATGTTTCAATTTTTCCTCAGATAATAGCAATGAGTGCATTGGAAAATATATTTCTTCTGCAATTACAGACTTGTACTGTGGGACAGATCTGTGATTGCAGGGTGAAATTGAATTGTTGATGGCCCCATATATTTATAGAAAAACCAGACCATTGTGGAATATACAATATATTAGGACCGGACAAGTCAGTCTAGGCTTTAGAAATTGTGTGCTGTTTTGCACCAAATAGATATGACTGTTGGCGTACCTACCCATATAAAACATGGCTGTGAAACCTGAAACCAACTATTATTTTTATTTGCCCGTATGCAAGAAATTAAAATTTTTGGAAGTGTTTATAATCATGTTTTTAAAGCATATAAGAAGACGAGTCTTACTGGAAGTAGCAAATTCCATTCAACAGTCTAAACAACGTGAAGTTTTTGAGATAGACTAATTTGAGCCTTTTACAAGCTGTAGACTTCACTTGTATGAGCTTGTAGAAACTAAGGGCTGAAGCCAGAACCAGCCAACAATTTAGGAAAAGAAAATAAACCAGAAAATGAAAACATCTCTCAAGAAAATCCAAGATATGGAATAAAAGAAGAGTGATGTAAATTTAATTTGAGGACTGAAGGCATACTTGGTCTTCAACAAGGTTCAATTGTGCTGATGTGCAAGACTCTCTCCTTCATGAGTAAAATTGTCTGGATTGATCTCGAGATAGAGTAATATAATAAAGTAGAGCACTTTAAAAAAGACGCTTGACAAACGACTCATGTCACATGCACACATGTTTTCAGGTGCGCACGCTCAATCGATACATACATACTGTACTCTCCCGAATGCTGTATTGCAGAGCCGCTTAATTCCTGCCAATGCTATTTTCTCAGGTCGTCATGCGTTTATTGGAATTGGATTTCAAGACAGAGGAGATTCGTTTGATTTTAACGTGTCACTTCAAGACCATTTTAAGTAAGTATAACAAGACAGTCAAAAAGCTCAGTTTTGAGGCATCACAAATATGGTTTTTAAAAACTTATAGCACGCTAAAAGTTCCAAGGAGTTCAAGTTTAGTTGGTTTCACAGTTGATTGCGAACAGTGGAACCTCTTCACAACTACAGTAGAGCGAAATCTTCTACTGAGATCTTTACATACTATGTATATACTACAGTACAGTATATACAGTAGATGTGAAAATAATTTTCTATCTTGGATTTGCAGGCGACTAAAACAGGAACAGGACCAAGCGAATACAACAACAGAAAACTCCCCGAAATTAGATCTAGGTTTTAAAGAAGGTCAAACGATTAGGATAAACTTCGGGGTAAGTTCTTATTCATCACGAACTAAGTATTAGTGAAATGGCTCAATCATGAAGATTTTCATTTGTAAAGCTCATATTTTGGAATTATATATTACAGAACAAGACTTCAAGCGCCCAAAGCAACAAACCAAAAACTGCAGGTATGGTATGAAGATGTGGTATTCTCGTATTTTAGTAAAAGCTGATAAAGTACCACTGAACATAAACTCGTAATTTGCAGTGTTTTACCACTGTAATATGGCCAACATACTTGACGATTGATTTATTACAGCTTTTAAAAATGCGTTTAGTTCCTTGACTATACAGCAGAACACTGCAAAATTACGAGTTTATGTTCAGTACTTCGGTATACTTTGGTAAGCAATTCGCAAAGTTGCCTTTGCAAGTTGTTAGTGGGTGTGTTAGAGAAGAGCATTATATGAATGCACTTGCTTCAACCTCAAGCTTTTTACCCATTGGTCGTCAACGTTTTTTTGTAGCTGTGGATATCACAAGCAACAAATTCTTTGAAGTTACCCTGGACGTGCTCCGAATCGCTCTTAAATTGGCTTCGTAGGTTCTATCCAGTCTGTTATGAGATCAGTTTAATTTTCAATTGAATCGCTCCATTTTATTATGAGATCAGGTCTGATAACAGACGGTAGACCCTATCAAAAATGAAGCCAATTCGAGCGATACTTGGAGCAAATCTAAGGTTACCCAAATGGTTAGTTTTGGTAATTAAGCATAGTTTATTTATTACATAATTCTCCGTCTTTGACAACTGACCAGTTGTAGGTGGGATCGATGGAGATGATATTGGTTGGGTAGGAATTACAGTATTCCCTATGCTGGTGATAGTCTTGATCATTCATGCTGATGCATTAAGACCGGCTACCTATTCCATCCTTACCGGCAACAACAGACAATTTTTGCATAAAAGTGAACGTATTAGCAAATGTAGTGTTATTTATATACCACAAGACAAACAATTTATGAAAAGTTTCAGGTGACATTCTATATTACTCTCCTAAAATGACATCACAAGGATTAGGATTAGGATTATGGTTAGCGTCATTAAGGGTTAGATTAAGTATCTACCTAATATGAACATGACATGTTCATATTAGGTACTAGATACTTAACCTAACTCTTAATGATGCTAACCACAATCCTAACCCTAATTGGTTTTCTGAACCAAAGTGATCAGTGTTTATTAGAAAGATTATTTCCATAATTTATTATCTTTCATTGTCATGATCAACCAATCAAAAAACCTGTTCGTATAGGTACATGGTGACCTGAGATGATCGGACACTAACGTACAGTACTGTACGTGCATGGTATAATTGTATAATCGTCCATGCAAGGCAACTAGCAAACCATATCATAGTTTTGCTGGGAGAATGGCCCACGGCCGACTCTTAATACAGTACATTAGACAAATAACAATTAGTTCCGCACGATCTCGCTTTAAATTACAAAATATATCCCTTAAGTGTACCTTTCTTTATTTTGCTTAGCTATACTGCGTGAAACACAAATACTGTAATGATTGAACAGCTGAATCAGGGTTTCAGAAATATTCTAGTGGCCTGTGGTGTGCCCAGGGAGTCTTAAAGTCATCCATATTAACTGATAGCAACACAGCTGAGCTCTGGAACCAAATTATAATGCATCACTACTTTCATTCATCGACAAGAGAACCTCATTAAGATATAACCACGCTACAAAGTAGACCAGGTTGATGAAAAATAACTTTGTTTGAAAGCTTAGAGTGGAGAGGAATGTGAGCAAAATTGATATTTCAAGAACTAAATAAAGTAACCGGTGGTAAACCTCCTACCACCCGCCGCAGTTCTGGCGGCTGCCGGCTTATTTTGAAAGCCCTACTGAATATTTTGATGTGCACATTTTAATTCTTCCAGCTTCGTGTTATAGTTCAACTGCAATTTCGACCTCGTTCCCAGGCTCTTCCCAACCTCGTTCCCAGGCTCTTGCCAACCTCGTTCCCAGGCTCTTGCAATTTATCCCGACGCAGAACACGTTATTTGGATGCGCAGTGGAATCTATGAAATTAAATTGAATATACAGTATTAATTAATACTGTATGAAAATTGCCCCCAAATTTCCCAAATCTAACCATAGTTGTGACAAATTTGTTTACATTGCAGGAAGTGGTAATGTTGGTATTCTTCCCCCACCGCCCGGCAACAGTGCCGTCCCAAGATTAGCAGGACCCCCTTCTGGAGTTGGCCCCCCTTCTGGAGTTGGCCCCCCTTCTGGAGCTGGCCCCAGACCTGTTGCGGCAGCCAATACAAATGCACCGTCCTTCCAGCCTGCAGCACCCGCGAATGTTCCCGCGTCTAACCCGCCTTCGGATTGGGGAGATTTTACAACCGCATCAACATCGAATCAACAGTGAGTATACTGTAATATAGATTGCCACAACTACCGATACCATATTGAATTATGGTATCGTTCCGTTGTCAGGAACTCAGGGGGGCTGAGCCGCGCTTGTTAAACATTTCATGCTGATTTGGGGGCTGACCTTCCAATATTTTTGCAGATTGCATATTCATAACCTGGAAGGTTCTTTGCAACTGTAGTGTTGAAATGATGCGGTAATGATGTTAGTAATCTGTACTTGATTACTATGAGCATACTATTGGGTCATGCATGTGGCACTGGCTCCAACATAAAATAGCTTTGGTCCTTTCTTAAAAAAAAAACACACTAATTGAAGAATTACTAGAACCGAAAATAAATACTGGAACTTTTCATGTTTATCATGTTGCACCCTCCACGTCGTGTCATCCTCATGTCTTATCACCGCCTCTAAATAATTATTCAGCCACCATTCAAAATCTTTCAGAAATTATATTGTGCCTCTACGGCATGATTACCAATTAATGAAGTATTATTGCAGTTAAATCTTATCCCATATATATTACTACCGGGTGTCCCAAAAAAAAACTGGACACTGTTTGATTTCATGTAACGTAAAAGCTATATATAAAAGCCATCGCAATGAAATAAAGATGATTGCATTCGGAAAGGACTAACTTAGATTTTGATATATAACACTTGAGTTTACATGCAATATTGAGCGAGATACACTGGTTTGAATTAGAAATGCGTTTTAACAATTGGTGAAAACCCGGTAAAAACTGGCTAAGTATAAGGTTGTTTTATGCTATCATTTTTGGCATTTTCAAAAACAGTAGTTCAACGTTCAAACATCAATAGCGCTGTCAATATTGCATGCAAATTCAAGTGCTACAGTATATATCAAAATCTAAGTTAGTCCTTTCTGAATGCAATGATCTTTAATTCATTGCTATAGTTTTTATACGTTACATGAAATCAAACAGTGTCCAGTTTTTGGGGGGGAACACCGGACATGCACCCGGTAGTAAAATGAATTTTTCATCCTCCTGCATTCTCAGCCGCTTACTTGAAATGATTATGAAAGCCCTACATTGATTCGTCGTATATTTTCGTACAGATTGGCGCAAGATGGCTCTTGGGTGCAATTTTGAATTTCTGCAATTCGAAGAACTAATGTAGGTCATATAGTTTATAGTTAATATTGAAATTGCAGTTCTATATAGAAAAGCTGGATTTTTAAATAAATTTGTTATATTTAACTCAAAAACTGCTATTCTTTGCCATCGGCAAAAATTAGACTCAAAATGATCATTTTTATTTTGAAGATCCCATAGAAAGGGACCCTAACTCTGCCACTCATGTTGGTAGTCCACATTATGTTCAGTTAAGTGACTAGGCCGGGTTATCCCCTGTCTCGTTATATATAGTATTATAGTAATGATCGATGCAATCAGCGTGTGACTGTAAAAAACTATTTGCGTTCAGTTTATTATAATTATGCAGTTTATAAATACGTACAGTACAATACAATGAATTAAATCAAAAATGAAATTTTTCACAGCTGTCGTTCTTTTCTTACTCCGACTGACTGTTTGTAGGAAAATATTCCTAGAGTTGGCATTTAGAGTAAATAGGCGCCTTTCACCTCGAAGATCGTGGGTTCCATTCTCGCTGCGGAGTCACGTGTGTGCATGAAGAGTCGGTTAACGCCGTACCGAAAGTCGTGTGCATGGTTTCGTCCGCTATTTGCCCTACAGAGAATGTTGACAGATTGGATTCAGATAAATCCTAAACTAATCCTTTTATCATGGCTGTGTGTGCTCTGTGAGACGCTTTTCTAAGCCTTCTACTCGATTGGGTTTACCTACGATCAAGTAGAAGATTCATTATTCAATCAGAAATAGATTTCTTCTTGGGAAGTGCGACGTATGGTATTTTTGCACCAGTAAAAGCACGACGTATGGTATTTTTGCACTCACAGAGCGAGCGAGCGAACAAGTGAGTTTTATTACAACAAATTACAGGTAAACTACGTGAAGCGTTCCTCTTTTGAGTTTCTAAATTGATTGCAATTTTCCTCATTACTTTTGCAATTTAAAAAACTCCCTTGCAAATCCCTTGAGGAAATTTGCAATGTTGCTAAAACCCAATTAAATTTTCCTCAGTTCCTGTTAGAAGTTCCTAACTTCCTGTTACAAGTTCCTAACTTCCTGTTCTGTTCTGGGCGTTGCAATTGGCTAACAAAAATAATCGACCAATAAAAACGCTCAGAACAGAACAGGAAGTTAGGAAATTAAAACAGGAAGTTAGGAAAATTTAAAATGAAGTTTGTTTGCATTGGAATATTGCAACAGCCGATAGGAACATCGCAAATTCCCTCAAGGGATTTGCAAAGAGTTTTTCAAATTTGCAAACCTAATGAGCAAAATTCCAAATGAGTTACGAAGTCAAAAGAGGAACGCTTCACGTAGTTTACTTGTAATATAAATGCGAAAATACATACAAAATGTTTTAAAACTTGTCATGTTTTGCTTTGGTAGTCTTCGGAAAAATTTTACCTATTATTATGAACGATATAAATTTATAATTCATAGGAAAGTCATACATGCCGGGAAAATTCAGTGAAATAACGTTAGCATACGTACAATTTTGCGTAGAAAACATGCATTTCATTCAAACAACAGAAACCGAAATAAAGTGATACAATTGTCCAGCTCTTGCGGAAATAACGAAGTCAAATCAAAAGGGGGAAAATTCCTGCCTGGTGGAATTCATACTCGTACGTCATCACATCTATCGTTTGATTGGACGAAATTTCGCTTCTCCGATTGGCTTATGCACGTAAAAATATCATATCTTGTCATGTTGCTGTTTGTAATTCTCATTTGCAATGGGAATGATGGGAAATTAGAACATTCACTCTTCCCATCATTTCCTGTGAGTGTCGATCCGATATAAATCGTCACGTGATGCTACTGTATGTTAGGGTTAGATTTGGGTTTAGGGCGCATTTATTATGATACCAATAGGTATAGTAGTGTGGCCTGGGCCGCCTGCACTAGGTAACGACTCGCCCTTCTCTCTCTAGTTACACAAAAAGGACGGCGTGTGTGTGTGTTGACATTGCAGAAATATATATTTTAACATTGTCAAAGAAGCTCTTTCAACGTAGATTGAAGCTTCTGTTTAATACTTTTGTGTGGCTACAATTCCTACAAATGATGAAGAAAGCCAGAAAATCTGCCTAAGGAAGCAAAATTCAATACAAGACTTGAGTCTCTCTTATACATCTCGAAAGTTCTCCCGCTGAGTTTTAGAAATTCAGGTTTCGCTTCGAAGCATGTCGACTTGTCGACAGGTAAAGCATTTCGACATGTTTGTGTTTGAGCATAAAGTACTGCGTTTGATTGCTGTAGTCAACCAATACTACTTGGCAATGGCGGCCTGTACAGTTCATTATCAGAATACACTGTCTAAAAACTATATGTATGAGCTTTCCACTGATATTATTGATCTAATTATAAAACGAGATCGCGGATGGCAGGATGTTTTGGTTCCAATAGATATTTTGGGAGAGTTTAGTGGCATTTGAAAATTGCTCACTTTTTTATACACCTTGTATAAATGTTTTAGACCTATGTTTTACAACAAGTCGACTTTACAAGTTTAACATTCCCTTGAACTGCAGACTTGAATTCCTGCCAAGATTTCACATTGCCTTGATATTTGGACAAACAACTAGCCATAATTTCCATAAGTTCTTTCTTACGTAAGATTCTATTCCAAACATTGACTGAAGTAATTTCACCGTATTGCTTCGGCTTAGCGTCGGCACCAGCCGTTTGACCTCCTGGCGTATCCAAGCGTAGCCCAAGTTCCCAGGTCCCACCACCTCGTATCCCTGTCTCGCGGTTGATCTCTCTCTTACTGACCAGTTTGCCGTCTTTATACAATTTTTTAAATTCTTCACCAGTTGACAGTATCCAACAAAACGAATGCCAGTTTGTGCCAGTTGTGCTGCGTTTTGAAACAGAAAGCATGAATGATTTAAGGAATTGATATAGTTTAACAAATCTCTAATGCAAATTTGAAATCCATGCATGAGTTGAGACCTAGTGTATATATTTAGATGTACAGTACTGATGTATCGGTTTCATCCAAGCAACATTAAATTGGGGAGGGGGCGAAATTGTAATACTCATGAATATGACATTTGATCTCATAGCCAATAACAAGGGTTTTGTCCAAGTTTGTAGTCCTCCGATCAACCTCATCTCAGTCATCTGTGACTGACAAGCTGATAATGCCTCTAAGGCAATTACCTACCTCTGCGTAGATGATTTTTTTTCGACAATCTCAAAGCCTTTTCCATGATTCGGCTCTTTGTATTTAACATAGTGTAATACACCTGGGGATGTCTTGCACCAGAAACATACTGTTGCTGACTTCATCGTCACTGTACTTTGTGACGTCAGTCTGTCAGAGGAGGATTGGAACTGCAAGGATTTGTTCATGCCTTCAATATATAAAAACGTAGTTTACTTGTCTAGCAAAAAATATTGCTTGACTCGATTACACAATCAACTGAGCTGAGAGGTCAAGTCGATTCGAGTAGATGATATTTGGGAACCCAATCTAGTTCCTTCGATATCTGTATACATATCTTATAATATTAAATCTAATGATTGCGGTGTTCAAACTCAGGTATATACAATTATTCTAGATGATGCTACTGTAAGTGGCTCTACACCGGGCAAGCTGAAGAATATCTTGATCAAGGTGGAAAATAAATCTTGGTTTGATTTATGAAACATTTACTAGTATGACAGCTTAGTTGCTTATCAATATGCGATTGAAGAACAATCAAACTTTTAACATAAATAGTCTTGAAAATTAGCTAAAAAAAACTTGTTACAGATTTTTCACATCGTGCTTTAATTGATTCTTGAAATATTTTGACTGAAAGCAATAAGCTGTCCTGGATATGCATATTGTGTCACAACTGGGCACGCAATTTTTTTATTGGAGTTAAACTGCAAAAAAACAGAAGTTTGCCGACAATTGGAACAGCATTCCAATGGACATATAGATTTAATTCAAACCCCTTTAGTTTGGTATTATTACCTTCCGCGCTATTTTGGTTGCCCCCCTCCCTCCCCGATCCTCCTCACAGACACTCGAAAAGCTGAGTTTCCTATGCCCCTGATTATACTAATTGTCATCTATCCCTTGATTTTATGAAGTAGAAATAAGAGACTTACAGTCCTTAGGCGTAGTGTCAATGTTCTGTTCTTGATTTCGATCAGTTTCCACTTCGCTAGTTTCAGTTGAGCACTTTTTATTGTAGACAGCTTTTCTTCTCTCTAATTCTGATTCCATGGCAGCACAATCCAGGCTTTCATCTGCTGGTACTATATCCAGTATGAATACAGTGAGTTTAAGGTTTGAGATTGTGAAATATTCGTGTTAAGTTTCAAATACACAACGCAATAAAACTACAAAACAAACAGTGTGTGTATATCGAGTACAGGTCGGTACAACTTTTCAGTTTGTCGGCCGGTGTTCAGACATTCAGACTGGCATCATTTAATTAAAAAAAAGGTTTTTTAAAACACTTTTCAGCGCAAATGAGCGACATAAAAAAATCGCTTTTGATGTTTTCGAGCGTGACTAAACAGGGAAACATTTAACTATAAAATGTGAAGAATATATTTTTTAATATTTCCGGTATTTCCGCAACAATTAATACCCTCGAGTGTGGCATTTGAGGAAACATTAAGATTTTCTCAAAACAAGGAAACATTTGAGAAAACATAAAGATTTCAGATATTTCCCCAGCAATATTCTCGAAGCCGAGTGTTACCAAATATATAGGGGAAACATTTGAGAAAACATATCAGCTAAGATTTTCAGATGTTCTAACACTGTCTCTTTAATTCGATGACTCTTTAATCCCTATATAGCTCGACTCCTCTTTAATCCCTATATAGCTCGAGATATGCAAGCATATATATTATTGTACAATGCTTTTTGTGAATATAAGCTAGTCGATTGCACGTTACGTCACGGCGGCCATGTTATAGTGGGACTTCAGCAAAAGAATCTCATTGTCTTTCATTAAATTTAGCACAAAAATGGCAGCCGTTTTATTGTCTCTTTAGTCTAAGAGGTTGGTTGCAATCCACCTATTCTATGCATGGCACCCTTCCAAAACGATATATCTTTAATTTGAAAATTGTCAATAAAGCATTCAAAACCCAGTCGCCCAACATATACTGATATAGTTAATTCAAACAAGAGAATTATTTCATCAACCTCGCAGGGTCGGCGTTATCCTCCTTGAATGTTAACTGAAATTTGCCAAGTTATTAAGGGAAATTTTGTCGAGTCACTCCAACCACTAACTAACATTTATTTTCCCAAAACTGTTGTAGCTTTGAAGTTTGCCTGGCGTCCAGACCACCATATCTTGACAGACTATGTTGGAATACAGATTTTTTACATATTTGTATGCGAGCCAAAGCATACACTAAACTTTATTATTTTGCTCTTAAGAGTACTTTTCTTTATAAACAACCATTAAGTAGCAATAGTAATTATTGCCAACTAAAATAGTTTAAATTTTATTGTTGGCGTGGTTGCGAGTCGTGAAAATAGTGTAAATACGTCACGGTAGCAATTTGAACAAGTACGGCGTACTAGAATGCTCAAGGGAATACAATTTATAGCTTGGAGTAACATTCTACTGTTAATGATCACGTCTTCATTTATGTGCCGTTGTATTTTCCAAACTCACTCGAAAATGTTTAGAAAAATCAAATTTGCACATGTTTGAAAAAGTGAATTTAAAAACACAGATTTGGTTTGATCAATCTTTCATCATTTATGCAAATTATTCATATAATTATTTGTTTCAACCTTTGGTAACATATTTAAAAACTCTAATTCACTGGCATGGTCGAAAAGTCAATATCCTCCCCTGGGATCGAAACATTTCTGTAACTTCTTCTTATTTGGCCAAATATTACTTTAGGAAGAGCTGTGAGAGCCGAGAGGTAGGCTGTATTGCTTTTACTGGCTCGTATAACCGATCTTGGCAATTTTAGGACCCAAGGCTATAAACGACCGGACCAGCTACAATTTCCCGATATTGTTTTATCACACGTTTCAATAATAACTCGAAATTCATTTCAAAATATAATTCTCTTACCTGAACTGACCCTTGTACAATCAGTCGAAGGAGTAGAAGCCGTGACACCTTTGGCTCGGCTCTTTTCAGACTCCAACATAGCACTATGTCTTCTCTCAATAACATACAACGCACATAGTGCACAGCATACTGCACTTAGGAATATAACTGCCGCAATGAGAACACAGTTTGCTACATTTCCAGATTTTTTGCTCATTTTCTTCGTTGCCACATTTTCCACAGTGGGTTGCTGTAGAGATTCGTCACTGGCCGCTGTTGGACATAATGATCTTTTAGACTGAGGGCGCGAAGCAACGTGTATCACGTCCAAATAAATATGTTCTTCCTTTCTTAACGAGTTTGTCGACGGATTTTCCTCACCCATACTTTGCCCCAGCCAATACAAACCGCAAGTTTCGTATAAAATCTCAGCTCTTTTTTTCAACGCTTTTTCTCCATCAACCGGTTAAGAAAACCTCCAAATAAGGTTAGAAGGACTGTTTTGCTTTTAATTCATATCTTTTAATTAAAAGGAAAATTATCATGCAATTCACGTAGCTTTGCAATGCATAAAGCGATGTACAAGCATATGCATGTTATCCTTGTAGTGGTATGCAGCTAAACAAGCAATTGCCCATTTTAGCTTTCGTGTGGCAATATATAATGCATATGTTCCCGCCTCTTTCTGCCTCTGGGATTTCACCGCAAACCCGATATAGTCAGAAGCCATAGCAACCAAATATTGCACTTGTAAATATTGAGAATACTACATCAGTTTTGGGATTTCGCCAGTGACCTCCAGATGAACTGGAACGCTAATTTCAATGTTGGCCAAGTCCTGTGTTGAAGCCAGTTTTGAAGCAAAGCGCGGGAACCGGCGTGTGAGGAAAATCCACAGTGAAAAGGACTATTTAACAGTTATTCTACGAACTCGAGTCGAATATGAGCTGATAGCCGATGAGGCGCGTAGCGCCGAGTCGGCTATCGCTCATATTCGACGAGAGTGAGTGGAATAACTGTTTTATTATATACACAAGGTCTGAATTCACAGACTTTGCTTTTCGGATATTTTAAATATTTTTCTATTTTGTTTATGTTTTTATCTTCGCTCTTTTGGCCGATTATTTCTTCAAAAATATATATTTTAACCATTTTAAATTTTAAAAATTCATTTGCTAACCTGTAAACAATTTGTGCGAGTTTTTTCATTGTGTTTTTAATCCTGTAAAGGCTATAAAAAGCGAACAACTTGCCGTTTTCTCGTTCGCAAAAATCAGAAATTCAGTTTGAGCCGCCATTTTGTTTTTCTCTACTAGTAGGATATGAGCTAATATCCTGCTAGTAGAGAACCAATCAGATTGCAGAATACCTCATATCCAGACCTTGTGTATATAATAAAACCAATTATACCAATATATCGGTATTTTCTCACTCCGGGAAATCGGCAAATTTTCACGCTAATTTATGCCAAACTGTTTAGACATTACGTAGAATTTTCAAACACGAACGAGAGTGAATATTGCTCCCATATTTTCGTATTTGTTTAGCACAATTTCCAGGTCGTATGGAACAAAGAAATAGCTTTATGGATGAAAACGTGTACCTATTTGTCGGCAATAAAGGAATCTATCTACCCCCAAACAGTAGTTTAATTCTCAATAATGAAACTTATATAGTACCAAACAGATTCGATCGATATTTTAAGCGGCAATATCGACTAACCGATGTATAAAAATATTTGATAATTGTGCCTACTATCATGAGTAAATGACATAAATAATTGTTTTATATAGCCTACATAATACAATACAGTCGCATAGCATTAACTAACTAGAATAACTACACCAATAGTACACTCATATTCGTTGTAATATTTTGACAGTTTAATTGTTTAATTGTTTAATGTGAAATAAATGTTTTAAGAATATAATTGCTGACAATAAAATTTGGGATATTCTACTGATAGAGGGTGGGAAAGGGTATTTTCGTGAGCCGTGAAATGGTCAATATTTGTTCGCGTGAAATGTGAAATGCTTGATTTTAGTGTCGTGAAATGTGATTTGTTCTACAGCCGTGAGGCGTGATTGTTGATAAAAATGGTCCGTGAAATGAGAATTAAGGATGCCTGTTTCGTGAACTGTGGTTATTATAGCGATTATTATAATAAACATGATACGCGATAATCAAATTTATATGATCTCACTCGATTGCACAAGAGTAAAAACTTCGGAGGCCTTTCGCGAGGTCCCTGGCGCCGAGGACGCGGGTTCCTGGCGCTGAGGACGTGGTTCCTGGCGCTGAGGACGTGGTTCCTGACGTTGAGGACAAGGTTCCTGACGCTGAGGACAAGGTTCCTGACGCTGAGGACAAGGTTCCTGAGCCTATGCCGGGCCGTAGATTCCAACAATACAATTTTCAGACTGAAAATTGTATTTCTGGAATTTACGGTCCATAAGCTTTCTGTCGATGCCTCATTCGTGCATCACTAGACGTCCGTGGACATAAAAATCAGTTTTTCCAGCTGCACGTGTAATCGAAAAGGACGGGAAAGTTAATATTATGCTGTTTCCAATCTTGCGTTCTATTGAATTTCAAGGCCCCTGTAGCAGAAACTTGAATTTACCACGGTCTGAAAATTGTATTTGTGGAATATACGGTCCAAAAGGTTTCTATCGATGCCTTATTCGTGTATCACTCAAATAATTTCGTGATACTTTCATCTTATTAGTGCCTTACACGTTTGAGAATTTAACAATGCAAAACTAAAGCTTTTTTGACTTTTTTGAAACGTATTATTGGAGTATTGGCACATTTTACCATTCAGAGATTTACAAACTAATATTGAAACTGTAAAAAACAGTTTCATGTATAGCGCATTCACCAGTGAGTAATGACAACTTTTAAGCCATACAATTTCCGATAACGACAAAATGCGGCTTGTCTAGCCTTTAGTCGCTCTAAGTGACTAATAATTTTTTGGCGGGAGGCAAATTAGCCCCCCTCCCCCATAACGCCGCCGCTGCCCCTTGCATTTTATACCGCTTTTTGAAAGATAGGCAAAGCAAATGAAGGTTAGCCTTTTACGTTTTCGTAAGAGTACAGTTTTATGATTTGAAAAATGTTGGGAAGATTGGCATAAAAATTGAAAAAGAGGGGAAATGGGGAAAAAGAAAAGTTCGTCCTTTTTTGACATTTAAAGTTGAGCTACATTTGCGTGCAAAAAAGTAAAGGGTCAGGCCCTGAATTTTTGGCGACTTAATTTTTTTAAATAAAATTTGGTGATGAGGGATTATGTAGATATAAGTATAGTTTAATACCACCGAGATCTGCTAGTCAAGTGGTAATCTCCTGGTCTTGCATGAGGAAGAAGTACGGATCGATCCCTGCCGTAGTCGCAACCATTTTAATTATCGATTCCTGGTTGTGTCGAAAGCATTTTAATGTCAGGCATCGTTGTTTCTTCGCATTCCATCCGAGACGAGAAAGAGTTAAGTAGAATAAAAAAAGAGTTAAAGTAAGTGTCGGCGAGATGGTCCAGTGGTAAGGACGAAGTGTTGCAAGTGGCTAAGTCAGGATCGATTCCTGCTGTAGTCAAAAAGCCTTTTAATGCCAGGCATCGTTGTTAATTATTCTACCCGAGACGAGAAAGAGTTAAGTAAAATAAAAAAGGAGTCAAAGCAAGCGTAGGCGAGATGGTCTAGTGGTAGGGACGAAGTGTTGAAAGTCCGTAAAGCCAGGATCGATTCCTGGTTGTGTCGAAAGCATTTTAATGTCAGGCATCGTTGTTTCTTCATTCCATCCGAGACGAGAAAGAGTTAAGTAGAATAAAAAAAGAGTTAAAGTAAGTGTCGGCGAGATGGTCCAGTGGTAAGGACGAAGTGTTGCAAGTGCGTAAATCCCAAGAGTGGGTAGTAGCGAAGTAGTTGTAGTTCGCTACTGTAGCGAACTACAATTTTCAAGTAGCCAGTAGTTTTTGACTACTTTTTTAAAGATCGTGACTAAAACACCACACGAGTACATACGAGTAACATACGAGCAACACACAAGTACATACGAGTAACATACGAGTACATACGAGTACATACGAGTAACATACGAGTACATACGAGTAACACACGAGTAACATACAAGTACACACGAGTAACATACGAGTACACACGAGTAACATACGAGTAAATACGAGTACATACGAGTAAAATACGAGTACATACGAGTAAAATACGAGAATTAGCACGCTTTCTTTAAAGTTTCTTTCACTTTCACACTTTCACTTATTATGTTCATGTTGTAAATGCCTTATTGACATAGGCGTACGAGACAGGGGGGACGGGGGGGGGGGCAACTGCCCCCCAAAATTTTGGAAAACCGAACCGTGGAAATTCGGGCAAACGCTAGGAAAAATCAAGAAACTTCGGGCAGATTTATGAGAAAATATGTTAAAATCAGGTTATTTCTTTACAATTCTCCATAAAAATTCAGGCAAACTTTCAACTGCCCCCCCCAGAAAACATCAGCCCCGTTCTCCTATGCGTATTGATGGATTTCGAAGCCTCGCACGACGTAGAAAAGTAATTCATTAATATAGAATAAAGATTTGTATGTTCTAAGACTCTAAAAAGGTTTAAATGTAGTATATTGCTCACAGGCTGTCAGAGAGGTTTTGTTGTACATGAAAGTGCATGTTTGCCATGTTGTTTATACGTCTGTAGTCTATGTGTTGTGCAAATTTAATACGTGAATTGTACACCGGGAAATATAAAATACTTAGGGTTCATTATTTATCGTTTGGGAGGGGGGGGGGGGAGCTGTTGGATTCTAAAATTCAAACAACATAATAAAAATGACCCTCCCTTTTAATGTGTTTAAAAATGTAGTCCACCCCTTTAGAACAGTCTGAAAATTTTTCACCCCCCTCCAACATTAAACTGTTAAGAAGAACATAGTATGGGCGTATGGTAGTTCTTCCCATCCTATTCTTTTGTGTGCTCTTTACAACCAGGGGCGTAGAGAGGACCTTCAACTTGGGGATGCTGGACAGGATTTAGCCAACAGGGGGGGGGGGGGCGAAATAAAATCTAAATCCACAATGTAATTGTGTATAATCTTGTCTAAGTAAGTAGATATGGCCCCAAGAAGAAAGGGTTTACTTTGGGTTTTTAAATGTAAAATATATTTACTTTCAATCATCATTCGGTTTTAAAAGTAATTCGCATTATTTTAACCCATCATTTTCCATCACGAAAAATCATGTCTTTTATGCATTATACAGTCTTCGGACTTATGCAAACTCACACCCCGAAAATGCAGGAAATCGCATTTCAGGGACCCTAGATTTCAAAATATTCTGGGGAGCATGCCCCAGACCTCCCCTAAAATGGCTCACGCCTTTTACGCTGGCTACGCCACTATCTCTATACTATCTTCTTTATATCAATGCTATAAAATTTTATTGTCTCCCCAAAACACTTCTTCAAAAGATTTAAACCACTCTTTTTATTTTACACCCATAAAATATATCCCCCCATTATTTTACCAGCCCCCGCCCCCCCAACCGATAAATAATGAACCCTAAGCATTTTATATTTCCCTGTTGAAAACGTATTAACAGGTGTACAATTGACGTATTAAATTTGCAAAACACATAGGAGAACGGGGCTGATGTTTTCTGGGGGGGGGGGGAGAGTTGAAAGTTTGCCCGAATTTTTATGGAGAATTTTAAAGAAATAATCTGATTTTAACATATTTTCTCATAAATCTGCCCGAATTTTCTTGATTTTTCCTAGCGTTTGCCCGAATTTCCATGGTTTTCCAAAATTTTGGGGGCAGTTGCCCCTCCCCCCCCCCCGCCCCCCTGTCTCGTACGCCTATGTCAATAAGGCATTTACAACATGAACATAATACGAAGCCAAAGTGAAAGTGTGAAAGTGAAAGAAACTTTAAAGAAAGCGTGCTAATTCGCGTATTTTACTCGTATGTACTCGTATTTTACTCATATGTACTCGTATGTACTCGTATTTACTCGTATGTTACTCGTGTGTACTCGTATGTTACTCGTGTGTACTTGTATGTTACTCGTGTGTTACTCGTATGTACTCGTATGTTACTCGTATGTTACTCGTATGTACTCGTATGTATATACTTGTGTGTTGCTCGTATGTACTCGCGTGGTGTTTTAGTCACGATCAAAGTTTAAATGTTTTAAATACTGTTTTCTCAAAACAGAACTGATTTCGTGCTTTGAGATAAGATGGCCAAGACCAATTTGATCAGTTAATGTGTTTTTTATGCATAGTGCTTCAGCAGTTGACATATATAGAGCTCAGCGGAATAATATAAATTATAGCATCTGACCAATGAGAATTTCGCGTCACAATTTGAGACGCAGATATTCAAATTCATTAGTCATCGATGCAGGCTCTCAATTCCCCTTGAGAGCCTGTTCGCAGGCTAGGTTTCCCGTGCAAGATATTGTATACGTGAAAAAAGACATACTTTCTAAGACGAATGAATAAATTGGTTATCCAACAATTTTGTTTCTCATTCGTTCTTTTAGCCACAATAATAAAACTATATATCAAGGTTAAGCAAATAATATTTGATAGTCAATTTTATGCAAATGTTTAACATTGTCAAATATATTTTTCAAGTTAAAACATCGATAGCTCAGTAAATGTTGGACGGACATTCAAATGTTATATATCAAAATCTAAGTTAGCCCTTTCTGAATACAATAAAACTTATTTGAGTGCAATAGCTTTTATTTTTTTAAATCAAACAGCGCAAGTTTTTTTTGGGACACCCGGTATATCGTATATATAAACAATTATTTCTTAGCAAAGTATTCTTACTTTTCAGAATACTGAATATATTTTGACTTGTCCTTATACCTCCGTGTATGTATATTATCAAGACCATCAGCAAAGGAATTACCCCCGTATAATACCCTACCGATAATTCATCCGTGGGACCTTGGCCGTTCTGTGTTGTTATTAAAATTATTCTTTAAGTTTCCTGGTAATTTAAGGTGACCCTTCACTCCAAATCCAAAGAATGATCAACATACATGTATTTCACTTGGGCATTGGTTGCAACACTTTTGGCATTGGGTCAATAAACAAATAAATTTAAACTGAAACTCGACAATGTCACTGACGACAGTATATATATGTTATTTACCGGCTGCGAGGTCCGGACGAGAAAAACTGTGCCCGAGGTCTTGAAAACGGCCCGAGCCCGAAGGGCGAGGGACGTTTTCAAGACCGAGGGCACAGTTTTTCTCATCCGGACCGACGCTGCCGGTAAATAACGTGTTTATTTTTTATCAGATGTAAAAATTAAATTCATTAAAATTCCGGTGTTGCTTGCGAACTAATTGAGATCAGTGCAGTTGTGTATTTTCAAAGCGAGGCTGACAAAAATTGAAAAGTTGAAAGATATAAAACACGAATACGAAAACTCGAGAAAATTGGCAAGAAACACACAAAAAGACGTCCAGTTTCAGTAAAAATGTACATGCATGCTTTTTTCATAAAAATGATAGCAGGGAAGCTTTGGAATAAAAACTTTTATGCCTGCCGTTTTTGCTTTGGCTTTGACAAAATCAGTTGCTGCTGAGTCCTGACAACGACAGGTTCATGTTCATGTTCAGTACCGATCAAAAACACAAAAATGAATCTGTTTTGATTTAATCATCGTTTTTCTACTAAAAGGAAAATGAAAAGGGTATGTTGTTTTTATATTTTGTATTTTTTTTTCTCGTCTCAGGATAATATGCTTGAAAAAAGTGTTTTTAAACACAAACTTTTACTTTGTTTACAATATTTATATCAGTGAAAAATGCATGACACAAATGGGTAGAGAATATATTAGTGACTTGTTTTTACTGCTGGAGTTAAACCTTCTTTTAAATGGGAGGACATTTATTTTACAATTTCTGTTTAAGCTGTAATTTTTTCGCTTTTAAGTGGCCGAATACATGGGCATTTAAAAAATATATAGTTTTCTCGACGTAAGTTTTATTCATGTCTCATTTCTATCAAAATATTGTCAATTCTGGTGAACATCGTGCTTAGTATGAAGTCTTTAGGGCTTGATGCAATTCATTTTTGTATTCTGACTATCATTAGGCTATGTTTTTCAAACGTTTTTGGCAGATTTTTTCGTTTAAAAATTGTTTCACTCCTCGGTTTTTGGCGCGAAATCCAGAGCGGGCAGTTGCATTTCACAGCGGGCAGTTGCGTTTCAGAGCGGGCCGGATGCAAAAAACCGGCCCGCTCTGAAAGGCTCTCAGCCAATCAGATTGCTTCATTTTCACTGATAAAAAATAAATATATATACCATATTAGCAGTATGTAGCAAACAAATTAATGAGGATCAATAGTAGGATCAAAATTACCATAATATGGCTTACAAGTTAGGCCTATAATTATAATAATTATTACAACTTGTAATGTATCCTATTTTTTGATCGAAGTTCAAATCTCTTATTTTTTTTTTTTTAAGAACTTTATTGGGTCATTAACAACTATATTTACAATAATTATACAAACAAATAATTGGGCAAAGATACACTAATTTAAAATAACAACAATAAAAGAACCCAATTGGGAAAAGTGCGAACGGGTCTCCAAGTCCCATGCGGGGCACTTCCCCTGAGAAAAGTTTATGTCCTATGGCAGGAGCAAGCACGTACGAGGGTCCATGTACACGGTTGATCAACATCAACAATTTGAGTATTTAAATTATGATACATGAGTTTAATTGAACATTTGAAAGTTGAAAGACTCGAGAAACTAGATGGGGGAAGTATTTTACAGGTTGTGT